ATAACTGCTTATACAAACACAACAGTCATATATATCACCGTACGCAAGAGGTACGAACAACTATATTAAAGCTAATTAAGTGCAAACTGATATGGGACGAACTGAGAGAGAAATGTTGATGGGACGATTAGATGGACCTACAGTTGTCTATACACTTTGTATAGAGATCACAGATATTCACATGTTCAGTCCTGATATTATATATCAAGAGCGAACATGTGAATATCTGTGATCTAATGATATATCAGATGTGAACAAAGATATATCAGATATAGTTATGATATACACTTAAACTTCTACAGAATACAGATTCAGAACACTGATATTCACATATTTAATCTTTACATCTAACAGATCTAACGCAATAGAATGAAACTTTCTCCATTCTGTTTTTTTTATTAGAGAACTAACGAAAATGGAGATATCTCTATTCGCATGTGCACTGTACTGTATTCGATGACAAATGCGTCAAATCTCTTTATTTATTCTTTCTGCTCTCTTCCTTCTATAAGCACCAAATGTGCGGCAATGTAAGCACAGGATATATTTTGTGCGAATAGAGATATCTCCATTTTCGTTAGTTCTCTATTCTTTTTGTCTGTTTTCTCTGACGATGGGAAACAAAGAAATATCTCCGCTATACAGAAAGAAGATCACGATATATCAGAACACTCTCTATACATATTGGCTAACATTTGCCAAAAAGTGAAAAGATAGAGATATGCCTTAGTTTTTCGGCTTTAATGATTTTTAATTAAAAAAGGTATTACATAATTTATTTTATATTAAGATTACTTTAATGGTGATGAATTTTACACATATTTATAAGGTGAAGTTTCTATGTCATTAACTTGGAGAACACAGTTCTTCTAGAACGCGAACTACTTACCGCTTCTTTTCAGAAGAATGCCAACAGGTTACCATTTCTTTTCAAGAATAGAAAGTAGAATAAAACCGATGTAGCTAGTTATATTGACTTATTTTAGTAAACTAAACGCACCATCGAACTCTAGCGCAATACACAAAGCCAGTATAGCTGGGTTCAACGGTTTAACTTTATTTTCAATTTTTAAAAAGAACTGGTAGGCAGTTCGCGTTCAATAACAACTGAATTCGAACTGTTCCACCCCTGTGCAGAAGGTCCGATACTCTCTTAAATTGAATTAAATTGAATATAAAATACTCTCTTAATTTTTGCTTATCATTCAAAACGTAATAAATAATAAATAAACAATAGTAAAGTTATTTTTCAGTCTCCATTGTCTTCCTTTCCAAGAAAGCTGAAACCGTTTTCTAATAATTGCAATTTAGGAAAACAGAGTGATCACTTCTGTTATAGGATATAGGAAGACAGAAATGCAGAAATGTAGGAAGATAGGAATATAGGAATGCCGGAACATAGGAATTGATTGGTCCCAATAACAAGGTGTCGAGATGCGTACTTTATGGACCCATATGAATGTATTCAAGCTAACTATCAATCAAACTTTGTGAATCTCCCGACAGAAGCACAGCAATATCAGTGGCAGGTTTTTCAACAAATGCTCTACCAGCAACAACAACAGAGGAATTTCGGTCAACCACAAATGCAGCAACAGCAAGTGTCTCAACAAACATATGTTTTAGAAAACACAAATGACGTTCGATCTACTCCTAAACGTCCGACAGACGACAACAGTTGGCGGCGACAAGAAAGTAGAAGAAGCAAACGAAACAGAAAAACTAAAAATGGTAGTAACAATGAATCACTCCAGTCACACTTTTCTCCAGTCTCTTTGCAGCAGGGTGAACAACCCTCGAAGGCACAACGAAGAGATTTACGAGAAGCGGACAAGTATACTGAGCAACAATCACAATCTTCATGCTTGAATAAATACGGTAATAACAGCAATAATCCTGCTCAATAATTGACAACCTCTAATAATACACAGCTTCAAAATAATACATACTGCAATACTGGTAACATATAATGACATTTTCTATTGGAATAACTACGAAGTCAGTTGAAGGGTGAAAATTATTTTATTGCTTAAAGCGTTTAAAAAATCAAGTAGACCGTCATGAATTGTCCTTTTGTAAATGGCTAGAATTTATCAATATTTACTCAGTACAGTAGTTCAGGTTACATTCCTATTTTCTCTTCCCCTCCCACCACTTATTAATGGTTGCTTTTAAGGTTTGTGTTGTTGTTTGATTGTTTTTTATAGAAAAAAACGACACGTGTGTGATTGAAGATATGTGTAGGCATGCAACGGTAGCGGTAAAGCCGGTAACGGTACTACCGCTACCGCTACTACCTGCACCGTTTTACCGGTCACCGTAGGTAACCTTTTCTGGATAAAATCTATTGCAAAAACTCACACAGTTGCAAATGTAACTTAACTAAGTCTTCAATAACTCATAGACACATGAAAGAATCAAAATTCGTGAACCTTAGTAAGCCGAAATTAGATTTTGCGAGTCGCTCAGGTTTCATCCACTGTTTATGTAAATACAAAATTAAACAAAACGATAAAAACCATTATTTCTTCTTCTTATTTGAGACTATAGCGGCCGTTACAGCTAGCTCTATCGCGTTTTATTTTAAAAGATTTTCTACGCTCTTGATCTGTTATTTGGTACTGCCCGATGCAACGGGTGTTATAGCGGCCGTTACAGCTAGCTTATCTTTCTGATTGAAACTACTAAGGAAAGTAATTAGCTGCAGCTTGTTGTGAATCTAGCTACAGCGGGATATTTATCGTGTTAAGCTTTCATTGACGATTTGTTACTAGCTGCACCGGGTGTCAAAGCTAGCGTAGCTAGTTGCAGCGCCCGCTAACCCGTTTCAATATTTTTACATTTTTTATAGCTAGCTGCAGCGTGCGCTACTAGCTTACTTTTTTATGCTTGGGCTGTCTATAGATAATTGAGCAAAATTGCCGGACGGCATTATACGCTGTTTGATCTGCCAACGCTTATAGCTTAAGAACCAATTTGTAGAACCAACATGACTGCAGCATCCTAAAACATGGCTTACAATCACGCATTCGCAGTACAGTGATCTCGTCTGTGTTAAATTGTATGACTGAATGATAAGATTTTTGTGTGGCATATGCCGGTTCTGTTAATACTCGTATCATATCTGAGATTGCTTTCAAGTTCAATCGGCAATAAGTACTTACCAATACTTCGCTATATACAATTGTACGTTTTTCAGCTGATACAAAAACACAATTTGCCTCGAGTTTCTCAATGGAAAAATACTGATTCAACATCACTGTGTTCAACATTCCTATAGTGTCCGAAGAAGAGATAGAACATATAACTTTAGTTAACACATGACAAAAGTACTCTTATTCCACAAAACTTAACGTGTAATATGACTATTCGAGAAGTATTTCAGTTGAGGCATGCAAGATCATAGGTCTAAGAGCATTGTTCTTCAATCAAACTAACTGAACCATGTACAAACGTGCAAAAATATTTGTTTGTTTCGATTTTGCCTCTTATCGTGCCCCTTTCTTATGTCAGAATACTACACTGAAAAGTTAGTTCGAACCCCAGTAGATATATTAGCAGAGAGTCTTTCACATTCAGAAACGTATATGCAAGATTCAAATCAATTTTTCGTTCAAATAAGCATCTGATGGTCAGTGGGAATCACGCGATTGTATTTTGAAATTTTAAACATGTTTATCAGTATAAAGTGTTCATACGAAGTCTCTCTCAGTATCTCTGATTAAGAATCAAAACATAATTATTATTCAGTGATGGTTGGTGGAGTAAGAACAAATGGTTTCGGTTGTTCATTTATAATATAAGTTGTTGATGAAGTACCTAAATGAAAACATATTTTATGGCAGAATGATTGAGACATTAATGCATATACCTCTTGTATTCATTTCTCTTGCTTCCTGACACATTGCACAACGAGCACAACACCATGTAACAAGGAAATCATTTGGATCTTCGGCAATACCATATTTATGTCTTACTAGCGCTCGTTTACCCATATGAATAAAACAACCAAAACCACCAAGCATTTCCAATAGCATATAGAGAAGTGCCTGCCCAACGCATGATGAACCATCAATTCTCTCTGCGTTTTCACCATATAAACAACACGAGCAGCAACAACCGTACAAACATAATGGGAGATCATCGAAGCAGCCACATAATGGCTCTAGGTATATAATACAACGAAAACGTGTGAACCATCCATGTCACCTTTACATACCTATCCATCTTTGATTCTGCATTAGATCCATCCTGTTCGATCAAGAAGTGTAAAGTAAGACTAACTTTTTTTTCTATTGCTAGTAAGTTAGATCAATTATATTTTAGTGTGTTTTTATGTTTGACAATAAAATTGATCAATATTTGCTGAAAAATAACAGCAATAAATATGAACACGAAAAAGATAAATGTTTGAATATATTAATTGATAAGAGTATTGTGTGTAATTACCACACGAACAAACAGAAAGAGGAAGATATGATTGTTTCATAAGTTCGAAGTCGTAAAGTGCAAATACAATATTCTCTCTTATATTCTATGATACTTACCATTGGTGCAAAAAATTAAAATAAGAAGGTATCACTGAAGTATTTTTGAAACATTAAAAACTAATAAATTTTGCTTAGCTAATCAGTGTTAAAACTTACAACTGTAGTTTTACAAATACTCATATAATGTGTCTTCACAGTCCGGCTTTGACGCATCGAGATAACAATAGTAGAATTATGCAAGAATATTTTCACAACTGTGACACAATATTGTTCCAACTGGGGTGTGTATGTGAGGGCGAGGGTTAATCTCAATGTATTGTTTTTCCTCAAAGTTTTTAAGAAATCTGTCAGAACCGGTCCTAACTCAAAAGCTGTGTTTTGCGCTTGTTTCATCACCACAGCTTCCGACTGGTAGTTAGTGAGTTCTTTCTGGGCTTAGATGGTGCGACGAAAAAACGCCACTTTGTCTGTTCTGCTCTCTAAAAAATATTTGTGTACGATTAGCTTACCTACCTGCACACATATAATACTAGCGGAGAAAAGTCCAAGCAAATGCTCAATCCGTCTAAGATGGCCGCAGCTATCATCTCTATGTTATCAAGCTTACGAGAGAACATTCTCTGTTGGCCATTGCCTTTAAGCTAATAGTCTGCCCAGAAATCGGGCTCTGGAGAATAGAAAAGCCTACAAAAATGGAGTTCAAGGTCCTTTCTCAGCCAGTTTTCGATTTTGATAGGTATCCCGAATAAATGCACATTACACCGTAACATTTTCGATTTCTTTGCAAAACCACAGCAAGTAGGGACGAAATAGTGATTGAAAATAGGCCGCTCCTTATATATTTGTCACAATGTTTTCTAGTTTTCGTGGTTGGCTCCAGGATACTACTCATTTAGTAGTTCTAATAGAATAGTTTCATGCTGGATGGGAAACTTTTTAAAAACGTTACGCATTCCACAACGCCTAGTAATGCTGTCATTCATCACCGAGAACAATAGTTAAACCTGCCTTAAACGAGCGTGGACGATGATATTTACCACCAGCATTAGAAAATTGTCAGCTTTTGATCCGCTACACCTAGAAAGCTAGAACTGTCAGGATCGAAAGGAAATCGAATAAACATGCCGACAGCGGAGAGATTTGAATTCTATATCAACTCCCTGAGTATGTCGCCACAATCGCCGCGAATTACCTTTGTCCAAATTTAAGCGATGAGTCATACATTTTGCCCTTGAATTTGGACAAAGGTAAATCGCGTTGATTGTGGCGACATATTCAGGGAGTTGATATAGAATTCAAATTTCTCCGCTGTCGGCATGTTTATTCGATTCCCTTTCGATCCTGACAGTTCTAGCTTTCTAGCTGTAGCGGATCAAAAACTGATAATTTTCTAATGATTATGCCGTTTATAATCATAAAGAACCTCGAATTATTGTTTTGGTTGCTATCGTATCATGTTGTATATTGCCATGCTGTAAAGGGATGGACCAGAGTTGGAACCGGACCGACCGGTTACCGGTCCAGTTGAACTTTTCAACCGGCCGGTTATCACCGATTTTTTAACAGTTTTACCACACTTCAATCGACCGGTTGCTGCCGGTTGCGAACCACAAGCGAAATATGAATACTGTTGAACAAAAGTTCGAGATTTCAACTGGAATCGCCCAAGGGAGATTGAAAAAAGGCAATAGATCCAAAAATAATCTATTGATTCATTTTACATTTGTCCTATAATTTCGGATATAGATGAACACAGGTTAGGATTTTCTCCCATTATTTTCTTTCCCATTTCGAAAACATCTATCCGGAAAAAAAGTTTTTTTCTTCATTAAAACGTGATTGATCTATATTCTTTTTCCTACTGCGTTTCATACATCAGCAGAAATTGCAGAAGCTTACCTTTCTGCAAAAAATCGGTTTTTCACAAAATCCGGACTCTAATCTGTCATGGAATCGACCGGCTTTTACCAGTTGAACTCCAAAATTGAATCGGTCGGTTTTTTGCCGGTTTATTACCGCTTCAACTACACATTAAACCGGCCGGTTTACAACAACAACTCTGTCTGTAAGAGTGACTAAAAGTCTTGTGAAAAATGCAATTCTCACGGAGATTGAGATTCTATCTTCTTATATGAGTAAAGTTCTTGTGAAAAACGCCTTTTTGAACGACAAAAATGTGTTGTTATGTGAGGGTTCTCCCGAAAGCAAACAGGATTGATGTTGTGAAGAATTTCTTATCCCAGAAAACCAAGAACTGATCTTACAGTCTTTAAGACTGAAAAGATGGTACACGTGTTTTCGGTACTTGTGTTTTGGTAGCCGTGTGAGCGTAAGAAAATTGAGAAAAACACGCTTGACTTATCATGTGTGTGCTGTTTTCAGGGTGCAGATTGGGATGCTATTGTCCAGGAATTAACGGGATTTTAGTGAAAAAAGTATACATTAATTGGAATATCTGGTCTCATGTGAATATTATCCACGAAATAAAAGTAAGTGCAACAGAATAAAGAATACCTAGCTACCAACAACTTTGAGAAACTCGACTCAAGCAAACAATTTCTTTCAATCTATTTCCTTTCGTTCTTTTCCTTATTCGTTTGCGATAGTAATACTGTAGAAGTTATAATCTGGTCGATTTTTACCAATATTATTAGCTGCCATCTCACTATCATCGACCAATATCAACAAAGATAAGAAAGAAGAAAGAATGTAAGAAACAGATCAAAATATATGTACTAGATATGGGCGGGACCAAGGTTTTCCAGTTTCGGTTCCGGTCTCGTAAAGTTGTTGCGATCCCGTCCCGATCCCGGAAGGTTTCTATAGTCCCGGTTCTTAAAGCAGTTCTACTCACACGGACAAAATACTCTATTTATGCTGGAAAGTTCAGAAGTTTCTGATTGACAGTTATCTGTTATTTGTCCCTTAATGAATGAGTTATGCCGTATACTTCTTCTTCTGATTATATAAGCAAAATAACCAATGCATGCCTAGTTACATAAGATCGAACTGTAAGACTTTCTGACGATTTTCTACAACGTTTCTATTTAAGTATGAAGAACAGGTCAAGTTTTAGCTGATTTTACGCAACTGTCAAAAGAAATCTTAGTTCTAGTGTCGGTCTCAGCCCTGGTAAAAACCCTTTTTTGGCCCTGCCACGGTCCCAGTCCCGTCGGGACCGGGACGGAACTGCTTATGTCTAATATGTACACATCTGTGATATATTTGTTTCCTTTCTGTTCACTATCTAAAACGGAATGGGATAAGATACATTATAATAGAGCACAAGTAAAGAAATATAGCAGTATTATTGAAAAATCCTAAAAAATCATTTTCTAGTAAAAATCATATTTCGAGTTAAAGACTATTTCTTGTCTCTATATGAATTACTTTTCGTCGGGGTTGGATTAAGCTATATTTATTGTGACTGAGGAAAAAGTACAGAGTACCATGCTATCATTTTTGACTGTTTTTGATGATGTTACATATGTGTAAACTATATAATGACTTGTTGATGCGCACTACCTAGACAACATGTTGTCGTCGCAGGTGAGGAGCGTTTTCTTTTGTCTATTCGGTGCCCATAAGAGTGAGAAAAAGATGAAGAGAAAAAGCACCATTATAAGTCCGTGCAAGAGAACAAACAACTTTATCTTGCATTATCTACGGTGTTGTCCATCCTTCATTTCGTTTGCGACACTATATACTTTCATGCTAGCGCTACTTATCCTTGTGCTGCTGATCAACAAGAGCAGCAGTCATTTTCTTCATGATTCTGGTGCATCAGAGGACTCCTCCTCTTTCCCATCAATCATTACACCTCGTCATGTACGCATTCAACATACTGATGTCACCACGCATTCTGATATTGTCATTGATACTTACACGCCGCACTTCTCATGGCAATTAGGCGATGAGTTTGATGATGAGGGTGATTTGGTCAGAGGAGTGAAACAAGTAGGCTACCACATTCTAGTACATGCAGATGTTAGTAACCAAGTTATGTGGGATAGTGGCTATGTACACTCCTCATCATCTGCACATATATTGTATGCCGGTGCACTACTCACTTCTGATACACGTTATTCAGCCACTATCAAATATTTCACTGTCCAACGTGAAAGTCAGTGGTACAAGGCACACTTTCGCACTGCACTCTTTTCCCTCACTGATTGGTCAGGTGAATGGATTGGTAGTAATGGTATAAACATGAATCAATTACGTACTGTCATCAATATATCGAACACAATTCGTGCAGCCACCGCTTATATCAGTGGCATAGGTTATTATCAATTGTATATTGAAGGTCAACTGATTGACAAGTCGCGACGATTAGATGTTGGCTGGACAACATATCAGCAACGTACCCTCTATACCTCTTATGATCTGACTGATGTCTTCAACGCAACCGGTCCGATTGGCATTGGTATTGTCTTAGGTCAAGGATGGTACAATCGGCAACAGTGGGCCATTGGTTTAGGTGCACGTACTGAACTTTCCGATCAATACGGTCCGCCCCGTGTGCTGATGCAATTAAACCTAAACTATACAGACGATACTAGTCAGTCCGTTGTCACCGACTCATCCTGGTTAGGTAGAGAAGGTGAACATCGCTATGATTCCGTATATATGGGCACAACAATGGATTTACGAGTAGTGCGTTCTTGCTGGTCATGTGCCAATTTCACTGATCCATATCCATTATGGATCAATGCTTCCATTCTGCCATCACCAGTGAATTTTACGGCCGGTGGTCACTTGTCCTTACAAACCATGGATCCCATTCGAATTGGTCCCGATGCACTGCATATTGCTACCTCAGGTCGGTCGGGTCTCGTCACGGGAGTCAACGGTGTTAGTGTCACTGATGGTGGCGTGATCAAGCCTATTTCAAAAGATTCTGTCAATGGCCAAGTATTCGATCTTGGTCAAAATTTCGCCGGCTGGTGTAAATTGACCTCACTTAAGGCTGCTAAATCCACTATCATCCAATTACGCTACGCGGAATTGCGATACTCAAGCGGTGAAAACGGTATTGATTTTAAAGGATTATATTATGAAAATTTGCAAAGTATTGCTGTGATGGATACAGTAATTTTGAATGGAACGGGCAATGAAACTTTTGAACCCTTGTTTACTTATCATGGTTTCCGATATCTACTGGTCAATGGTTATGATAACATCGACAAAGATGATGTCGAGTGTTACAATGCACATAGCGAAACAACTCTGATCGGTAATTTTACCAGTAGCAGCGTTGTACTTAATCAAATACAACATAATATTCTCTGGTCTCAATTGAGTAATTCTATGTCCCTGCCTACCGACTGCCCTCAACGAAATGAGCGACGTGGATGGATGGGTGATGCCGCGCTTAGCATTGACGAAGTATTGTACAATTTCGATTATGTGAATTTCTACCTGAACTTTTTGACCATGATTGCCGATAATCAAACACCTGACGGTGCAGTTAGTGATACAGTGCCATTCACGGTAGGTACCAGTCCTGCCGATCCGAACTGGGGCACAGCATATGCAACTATTACTTGGTACATGTATGAACACACTGGCGATAGGACTATCATCGAAAAATATTATGTGGGCATTCAAGCATGGATCGATTGTTTAACTGGTAAATACGTACAGACAGGCTTGGCAAATATGTACTATAACTATGGTGATTGGGCAGCAGTCCAGCAGACAAAAAATGCTTCACTCGTGTCTTCTTATGCTTTTCTACAAGATGTACACACATTTATTAATATGAGTGAAATTTTGAATCGCACCGATAATGTTGAAAAATACACACGGTTGTATCAACGCTTAGCTGACGAATTTCATCGTGTCTTCTACAATACGGCGGTAAGTGGATATACTGATGGAAGTCAAACAGCTAATATACTTGCACTCGCCTTACCCAATGTTGTACCAGCATCACTTCGTACAACTGTACTCAGTTCACTGATCAACAGTATTCTGGCAACTGGCTATTTCACTGGAGGTATCGTCAGTATAGCTGCCTTGTATCCTCTTCTTTCCAACGAAGGATATCATGATCTAGCCTTAAAACTTGCTCTATCTACCTCTTATCCATCTTATGGTTATATGTTTCATAATGATATACAAAATGCCACAACTACCTGGGAACAATGGAATACGCTGCCAACGCAAGCAGGATCATCTTTAAATCATCACATGTTTAACAGCATTGGAGCATGGTTCTATCAATATTTGGCAGGAATCCAGTTGAATGCGCTCAATACGATCAAAATTCATCCACGTATACCGTATGATGCTAATCTGTTGAACCATATTGAAGCAGAAGTGGTGACCATTAAAGGGGCAGTTCGAGCGAAATGGACGCGACTGTCAGTGGAGTCAGTGTCATTGTCGGTGACCATACCGAATAATGTAGATGCAATTGTCTCATTTGACGCATTGATCAAGAATGGGCGATGCATGAAACTCATATGTGACGATGAGGTATTTTGGATGCGAGAAGTTATGGATAATGAACTGAGAATGCTGAAGAATGTGCATGGAGTGAGTGAATTGACTGAAAATCAGTCAACAGGTACAATATCAATTAGAGTAGCATCAGGAAAATATACATTCATTGCATACTGGCAATAATATAAATTTCTCGTCATTTTTATCATACTTAAACTGATGATCTTAAAATTATTTGGCGAAAAACTAGGTTATTGACTATACGGGAACTGCTTTCATCACTGTTCTTTTCTAATGCTGTATCTAAAACAAACAAAGCGCTAATTGTCCATTTTTTGAATGTCAGCCATGTTTACATTTTCACAAAACTATTCACGAAAATTTTAAACGAGATTATTCATTTTCCGAAAAAATTCACTATTAGAAAAGCGGAAAAGCGTCCTTCTTTCTCTTAATAATTAGACCGCCATCAACTGAAGAGAAATGAACAGTACATAACTAGTACCTCAGCGGAAACAATTATCGTCAAAATAGATTACGTACTTAATTTGTCATCATAAATCGATAGAACTAGATCAAGGATTAAGTTCAAAATTTAAAGATACAGCATGTTTTACAATAATCTTTGTAAGTTAAAGTAGTTTAAGTGTCCGCTGCAAAATGTCTTCTGCTTTTATGAGGGGTGAAGGTGGGATATTCCTTGGTTAATGACCTTATACTCTCTTTTATCCAAAAAATGTAAGTTTACAGCAAATGATAAAGCATCAGAGTCCTAAAAATACTATTAAGTATTACACAAATTCAATTGATCATCGATTCACGAGTTTGAGACAGCTTCAAACCTATATGACGTAACACATAGTGCATCGTACTCTGGCTATAGAAAGAAGAGAGCACATATCTTGCACTATCGACTTTGGAACTTCGATTCGCCAGACATCACTTTGATCGGTAGTTAATGGAAACATATTAATGGTGTTTGCCTTAAAACGGGTTCTGAAGCGATTTTAAAATTGATCGTTCTTGCATACAGACGAGCAAACTTTTGGGAGATTATGATACCCACTTAGTACTCTCTCTGGCCAACCATCTCTGCTACCGGAGTGAAATTCCATAACGATTTTTTTGCATTTTGTTTTTCTTATAATGTTTGAGTAACGAGACGCCTAGAGATCTAGAATATCACAGATTAACTGAAAAAGTAGGTGTTTGTATTTTTCTCATAGTTTCTGAATGAAAGAATGTGTAGACTGTAGGAACATCTCAGAATCTTTAGCACACTTTTCTCTTTAATCTGTGATATTCTAGATCTCTAGGCGTCT